AGATGATTTCAGAGAAAACCAGTGGCACCATTGTGTTCCTCGCGAACTTTTATACAAGAATCAACAGTCAAATTGCAAATTCCTCGCACATGTAACATCTCCATTGGGCCAAAATGCACCGATATCAATACCTCATATGTTACTTGGTTCCTCGAAAATTCTCCTCTTGGACTTAGCCTAAAAGTGTGGACACTTTTTAGCCTCCGGCGAAACCTAGAGTCTATACGGCTTCGCCGCACGACTAAAAACCATTTATTGCAAGAAAAAAGTCATTCAAGAAAAGGTACATAAACTTGACTTTTACCTATGGAAGCCATTCATAAAAAAGCCATGCAATTGTCTATCACATCATCTCAATTTCCCTAACTTGCTATAACAACAACAAAATTTTTCTCCTGTTATGGTGATAACACTTAACAAAAAAATCCAACATTCCCTCCACAAGGACGTTCCTTAATGTGACAGTGCTTTTGGATGCTCAGAATAAGGCTAGAAGTTCCAAAAAGGACATGAAATTGTGGAGGGATAACGACTAATAAATCGGCACCTGCTCAACTAATTTAGCTCATCTTCGTCTTGTTTAAAATAACAAGAAACAAGCTGACGAGTCACGTTAAGACAACAGGCAGCCATGGTCTAGAGAATAAGAAAAACTGTAAGTATCATCAGTTGCACTGAGGGTGAGCCTGTGCCTGAAATGCGTCTGCAAAATCTTAATCTCTTGACATGGAAATGAGTTCATTTTTAATATATCTCAAGGAGTGACATGAGAATCCTGAATGATTTTAGTTCAATTGAGTAGTGTACCAGTCAAATCCAAGCACTGTGTGACCTGGTTTTTTATATTTACAGATGAATGCCTCACAAACAGCAAATGAAATTTCTAAAACCACAGCAAGAGTTTTGCTCCAGATCATTCGGGGAGTGACACATATTAGTTTCATGAAAATTGATTCTTTTAAGAGGTAGGGCTTCTCCTGACTCAGTGAGAGGGAAAAGAGGGTAAAATATCTCAATAAACAAACCTGAGTTATATCACATGCCATTTCAACACGTTCTAGAGATATGGAGTCCCATTCTTCTTTAATCAGTGAAAATTTTCGATTCACTTCCAGATCCAAAGTATGATAAGCTCCCATCTACGATAAGCACAGAAAAAGTAAGTCAGTACATAGTACATGAGCAAAAAAGAGAAACTTTGCGTCAGTGTTACTTAATTAATAGAATGACAGAAGAACATGATCAATTTCTTTTCCCTACAACCCTCTATTCGATTATAAACGTTTATGAAATCAACCAGGTGCTGAAAATAAAATTATTCTTATATTATTATAATTTAAAAAATGTAGTTTAAAATAGGAAATCAACAACATCACAGACCGAGATAAGTAGTCTGGTTGTTTCATGCTTTGTGATATGCTTTCCGCTTTGAGGATGTTGTTAAATATCCTTAAAGCAGCTGATGGCAATAAATCAGAAATGAAAGGTAAAGATCATTCAGAGCTTCTTTCTTTCTTATTAAACTTTGCATGAATAATGAAAAAAATATATTTGGCAAATCACTCTGGAGAAAAAGAAACATTATTACTCTAGATTGCTAAATAATTTGCTGGTAAAAACATTACACACTTTAAAATCTCACATCAGAATGACGAACGTTTAGTCTTGAGGCTGAGTCCACCCAACCTTAGGTGTGTAACTTACTTTGACATATTGATTTTCTTCAACATTTCTTCCTTTAAGGCGCAGCATACATCCCTGTGTGTCGAAATCAATTGTCTCAACACAGATTGTCAATGTTGTTCGAACTCTGCTACTCGTTGAAGAGCCAGTTGAGGATTCATTCTGCACTTTCCTGAGGGTAAAATAGAGGAAAAGAAAAACTTTTGAATTATAATTCTGTTGAGGACTTTTCAGTTAGTTAATTCTGTCTTTTTACAGAACAGCTCATATCATCTCATAATGCCTTAGGAAGACCCCAACAGATGAAAATCTCCCCTTAATCGGAATACCCGCATCAAAATAAGAAAGGAAAGCAGCAAAAATTCAAAGATCAGAAACTCCCAACATCTCCTCTATGAACTTTTGAATTTGGCAAAATGAAGTTTTGGGTAAAGATGATAAATGTCAATTGCAGAATGCCTACAGGCCCACAAGACTTAATGACATTACAAAGGTTGAAAATACTAAAAGTACACTATTACAGGAGATGAAAAGGCAGCATTTAATGATAAATATTAAGGCTTAACTATTTCAAAATCCCAGTGCACATTATGTATTAAACTCCGTTTCAGCCATTTTGGGAGAAAAATTGATTATTGGCCCAATCAATTCGAATGCAAATTTTGAAACTTTATAGGTATCTCATGAACTGCCTAAGATCAGGCGACAGATTTTTATACACATTCTGAGCTGTCGTTGGAAATTTTCAGAATGCTAATTACTCAATTTTTCTAATAAAAATTTAGTTGATTAATTTTTTGTATTGAGGTACTGATCTGAATACAAAATAGGTAGTGTAGTATGCATCACAGAACAAGAAGAAAGGCATTCTTCGCCAATGATCGGAGCAGCCTCTGAGTAAGGATATTAATGAATAGCAGATCTTTCAATGTACTTAAACTCCGTATTTTGCAATAATGAGACAAAAAACAGACCTGATTGTTGAAGCACGAACAGTATCACCTTCACTTATTAGATTATAAGCATGCCACATATCCTCCTGCTCTTCTGGCATGAGTGTGATACTCCTGAAAGTAATGATACAATTCATTAGAGAGAGTATTAAAAGAACTGCGAGGAAATCTCATGGCAAATAGTCAGTTTTAGGGTGATATAGGGTATCTGCCATGTTAGAAAATAATGGCTCACAGGGTAGCTGTCATGTTAAAATATGAATATTGGCTAAAAATCTAAAAATTTTGCTAATTTCAAGCATTTTTAAGTAGAGTATGATTTGTTAGCTGTGCATACTTTTTCAAACTCGGAAGACTGCTTAGAGTCTGATGAGGTCAGTCTCAAAACTGCAGTTGTTTTCCCCTTAAAGTGCTTGATTAAGAATCAACTGTCAACTGAAAACTGGTGCATTCTACAGAAGCATGCTGTAGCTTAAGTAATGTGTGATCAAGAAAGAGCACTCAAACAAAAAATTGTGCTGCGAAGAATTTGACTTTCGGAGCATTTTTTTCTTCGCTGAAAACTAAAATATGAACTGATGAACAGCTCTTCTGAAGATGGAACACAAACGGCAAAATGGAGATACGATGGGCACATCAGCCATGTTGGCAAAGAGAACTAACTCAGCACCACTTAGTTCTTCAGCTTACTGGACGCAACTTAGTGGTCCTATTGACCTCTAGAGGCAAATCATTCAGCATGGGGTAAAACGTTGGGCGTTCGTGTAAAAGCACACAAGTCAAACAACTCCGATTGTTCGGCATAATACTCATGTTCTACTGTTGGTACTTCTGTTTCCAGACGGTCTCAAACAGCATACTTACATCTCCAACAATTTCTGCGTCATGATCTGCTCAGTACGCATGATCTTTCTGTTAGATACCAGATGCTACACTTACCCTTTGCCATCTTTCTCTATGTTTCTGTGAATGAGCTTCATTGCTGATATGATGATTTGCAATCTTCTCTGTAATATGATACACCACTGGAATCCAGAGAAATTTGACTTACATCAAGCGGTCACACTAATGATTACACCATGTTTCAATTTTCTGCCAAGATGCAAATGAAAATTAGGACAGAAAGTGTATCATTCAAAATATCATGATTTACGAATAATAGCTATGTGACACGTTACATTCCTTTCGGTAACACTGATAAAGCAAAAATAACTAAGTAGAGTAGTGACTTGTTGAACTTGTGAGATAACGATAACGTTGTCGCTTTATGGACTAAAGAGAGGTTAGAATTTCTAGAAAACGACAGTGCTGCTCTCTCCAAATACCGCGAAACAGACCCTATTTTGAACGGTGCGCCACGCGTTGCCTCTGGCCACGCGCCATTCAGTCTAGCGAGCGCAATCTTATCTTCATCCCTTTTTATGTACGCCGCGCCGCGCCGCCGGCTTCTTGGAATCTGTCGGAATCCGTCGTCTGCCCAGCAGGCGCCGGCGTTTAAATAGTTAGGTTTTGTTCGTCCCGGAGATAATTTCTTCTTCTTCCGCCTCACTGACCTACTTCCCTACATCCTCTCTTCTACACGCTATGCTAACGTATGATACATGATATTGCATCGATTTTTCACGGGGAATCCGAATCTTAGATTTTGGATATAAAGCGTTTTAATCTATTGAAAACTGTATAATAAATTACAGAGATCTAAACATCTTGCCCATGAAATAGGATGCAATTAATAATAAAATCTAATAAAAACCAGCAAAGATCTCATAAAATTTTGAACGATTGATCCCTAAATTACGTAATGATAAACTCGCGCGGTTATCCCCCCCCCCCATCGG